GTGGAAGAAGAGGAGGGGTGGCCAAGCGATGACTTCGTCGAGAGGAATGAGGGCGCGCACTTCGAAGCTAACCTCAGTTGGAGCGTCTCGGCTCCCTGGTTGGCGTCCGAAAGGTGATGAACACGTTTGACTGGATACACTTGCTGATATGGCTAGGAGCCGATCTCGGTGGCGTTCGTGCTGTGAGTTTCTTTGTCCCACCCCATCTCTCTTAGCCTCCCCATCCAACCACGATCTCACTATTTAGTCTTATATAATTTTGCACAATGATTTTTTCGGATGCACGGTAGCCGGTTGGTAGCTTACCGGAACGATGCTCATCCGTTACCGGTAGATAAGCTGGCTTGCACCAATTGCATATTTTGTTCCCTTTTTCTTCTATGTATTGCGGCATAGTAGCTGAGGTGTTTCCCGTCTATAGCTAACGTGTATAATGATGGTAACGAGGACGGCCCTCAATGTGACCTTATATACACGGCTTTTAAACGGAGTGAAACCACTTTCTGAGGCCCGAGATGACGGATTCAAAAAAGTAGTTCGAGCAATCACAATGCGTGAACTGGCTTCAGTCATTAGGCGCCCTTCGTTGCCCATGCAGCTGCCAAGATAGGTGGAGTGATCAACAACCATGAGTTCCTCGCAATCAAAGGTCATGGGGTCATTGGGTAGCTGGTGGTCCTGTAACAGCCCTTTGCACTTTGAAAGTGCACAGTATCGACGCTTCGCTGCCACGTAACCATCACCGGTCGCACTTGAGCTAAGGATACTGCGAGGGTCGCCCTGCCCCTACACAGGATCGAACGCGCGTCGTCAACTGGTATAATCTCACTAGACGCGATTCCGAAATTGGCACTTTACTGCTCCACAAAACTTCTAGCCCAACCGAAGGGAAAAAGCAGAATACCACTGATCTTGAGAAAAGAACGTGTTAACCACCGTCAACAAAGCAATGTACAACTGCTACTGACCTTGGTTGTATTTATAGGTCCCTTATTGACCTTCGACTTCTGGAATTGGAAAGTCAACTAAAAGGGTTAGCGGTTCCCCATAGAGTTGGCCGAGATGTCAGGTATCGGTAGACACGTGAAGAACTTAGAACATTCCAGAACGTCCGAAATCGATGAGATAGGCGTTAATAATCGATTAGTCGCAAAAATAGTAGATTTTCCAGGCAATTCTTAGTTTTTCCCGGACCTCAACTTACAAGACAAGCGAAAAACCTTTAGGCTACGGCCCGGCGTATGCCAAATGATAGGATCACACTTGAGAAAATATTAAGGGTTGATTGGGCCGCACCTAAATCGTCTGCATACTCAAGACCAACTAGCTTTTCATCAGACAGCACCTCTATGCCTGAATCGTGAGATTATGCAAGGGAACACACCGTGAGGCAATCCACGATGAAGTTGAGCAAAAATGGGGAAATCGAACAACCCTGATGAACACCACATGTTGTCGGAAAGGCATGCGACAAATCCCCGTAGACCATGACGCGGCTTGTCGTGTTCGAGTACAGAGCACGTACAGAGCAGATATTTCATGGGAACACATTTCCGCACAAGTATTTCGAGCAGAATGCATCAGCTGACTGAGTCAAACGCAATGAGTCGAGGAACACAATTACCGTCGGTTGGCGGTATGTGTGGAGCTGCTCTAGCACCCGCTGAAGAGTTAATATGTGGTCTCTACAACACCGCACTGGGCGGAAACCTGCCTGCTCTTCCCTTAAACGGGATTTGCGTTTCGCAGTGGGGAGACGAACTAGAATTGAGGCCAGTAATTTTGTCACAACTACCGTTAAGGTAATACCCAATGTGGTAATCACACTTGGTGCGGCTTACACTTCTAGTATATCGCCACTAGGATTGATCTTCTCCAGTTACCTGGGATGAGCTCATTTTCACAGACGTGTTCTAACAGGGAGGTCAGTAGTTGTAGAAAACCTCATCTCAATTTTTGAAGAATGCGGATGCGAGAAAATCCAGGTCGGCAGCACAAAAACGATTAAGGGCAGCGATTGTGCTTCGGACCTCAGCCTTCGATGGAGCCTCTAAACAAACCGTCCATGACTCAGCCTGCAACACTTGAGTAGGGAGAGGTCCAAGAGCAAGAGGCCAACTGAACAGCTCTTGGAAGTGCTCCGCCCAACGTGCCATACGGCGCTCCTTGTTGTGAATCAGTGCGCCCATGCTGTCGCTGATTGTCTCACTAACGTCTGGTTTCCTGGGATTGATGGTGCGGATCAGTTGGCAGAGCTTGCGATACTTCCCTACTGCACCTGCCTCCTTCTTTTCTTGAGCGCGACTGGTCCACTGGGCTTCCTTGTCAGCACACAGGCTCCACTTTAGTTCCCGCCTAATAGTCTGTCTGGTCACATTGTGCTCAGAGTCAGCTGGGAGTTTTCTTCTACATTCCAACAGGTTCACTGACCTCTCGGATATACAGTGACTGGTGCGCTGACAAGTGACAATGCTACAAGCAGAGACTCCTGCGTCGAGCAAGACAGTCAAGATTCTATTCCGTTGAAGTTCAGTGTCACTAGGACTAGAGAGCAATGCATTCTAGTAGGCATGCCTGACCGAGGGATGAGATAACTCCTCAGTTGACAATAGAGGGAGACGCTTGGTATGCCGCCCGGTAAAGGAAAGGAAAAAACGACCGCATACCAAGGCATGGTAAGAGTCGAAGCAGGAATTCCAGAACGAGTGGCAATCCAGGATGGAACCAAGCCACCTGTAACATATAGCAATGTGGTCAATTTGGGGCCATCGCTGGCCACCTACAGAAGGACGCCAGGTGGCAATTCAGCGCTTACTATCTCTGAAAGCAGTGCTAAGAAACAACTGGTGCTCCGCACACAGTTGCAAAAGACGCCTGCCGTCGTCCGGACGGTCGGATCTAAGTCCATAATTAGCACTTAACTGAGCCCCTGAAGAGCTCAGACGATCTACTTGCGCATTCATATCCCCTGCAAGTACTGATATCTGAAATGGTAGTACTGCGTAGTAACGTGTTCAGTTCGTGGTAAAAGATGTCCTTCGCAGCATCAAAGCTGCAATCGGTGGGGTATAAGCGGAAACCACAAACAAACAGCGTCATGTACGACTTCCTGTATCAACCTTATATGATGTCGTCAAACGGGCTGCACACAAACAGCTGTTCACCGAGAATCCAATCAACCAACAATGGCTCAGCTTTAGAGATGAGAATAATACCTGCCACAGCTTGATCCGTGAGTGCTGCATCAGCGTCTCCGAATGCGTGCAACCAAGAGCGAGAGGACAAGCCGGGTGCGATTAATTCAACAACCCCATTAAAGTCATTGTTCCTAGTTTCGGACATACAACACACAACTATACCCAGTGTGTTCAACGTGCGTGCAAGTGCAGTCTGTTGATCTATTTGTCCTGGAGTGCGAACGGTGAACGCCGCAAGGGAAACAGGACAGTATGACCTTATGAGGGACCGTTGTCGATAGGCGTCCAGTGGGTGGTGCGAGAAGATAGCTGTAGATGTTTCTACTCCAGTGACATTACGGCTGCTGTCAATTAAGCTGGGAACTATAGAGGGAAGGTTAGTAATGGGGGCTGGGATAGGAGCAAGAGAAACAGGTGGCAAAGGAAGCACAGAGGCACCAGCAATATCACGTTTTGGCTTATCCGCCCTGCTGTAGGCAGCAGCTAAGGCGACCCTCGGTAATCTGCGCGACGGCCGATGCAGGATGCGGTTGAAGTTCGAAAATGTAGTCATGGTTGTATGTTGGCCGAGATACTGTTAGGACGCCCAGGCCTAGACAGGAGGACGATTAGGGTCCTCAACTAAAGTTTTGGCTCAAAAGTCTGCAGCGGGGAGGTGGCAATGATTTAGTCTTACAGAAATGAACGCCATCCCATTTCAAACCCTCAGCCTTGGTGACAAAGAGACTGTATTTGTCTGACCACTAACCATTGATCATTCTGGTGGGAGTAGGTCCAAATGGACCCAAAAGCCCCACTCGGTATAGATCAATGGGTCGACCAGGTATGCAAACCGTCACACCAGGTTAAAGCCCAATCTCGTTGCGATGGAAGGAGCTTATTAGCTTGCCTTATCTTTCCACGATAGGTAGCTGTTTGTGATGGTGTGTTGTTGATCCAAGGCGTAGGCGCCTTGACTCTGAACGCCTAAGGAACCCCGGATTGCTTCTCATGGACAGGTGAAGATTAAAAGTGAACCTGATGAATGTTTAAAACTGCGAAGGGTCTCTAGTAGTAGGGCTTCTGATCTATTTGTACTAGCTACACATCACCTGCACAAGTATGAACTTAGCTTAAGCACCAGAGGTCCATGGTAGAAATCAAGGCCAAATTCTGTGCAAATCAAATAGTTCATAGTTGGAAAAAATTTCCTACTATTTTAACGGGCAGAACTACTGTAGAAACCTTCAAAAACCTAGATAAGTGTCGATCGGATAACAATCAAGCATTATTGTATATTATCGTTGGGATTTAGTAGTCTATGATCCAGGAAAGTACGGAGGTTGCTCTTGTGCTTGCTTCATTCCTTTCGCAAAGGAAAGGGAAGCAACTTAAACGTCGAAGTGCCGGAGACCCTGGTTTGCTTGCCGGTACAAGAAACAGGACGCTCATTAGGCGGGAACCTATTTCGTCCCGGGAACGTGACCCGACCTGAACAGATATTAGTACTACGCAGTTGGCAATGTAATCTCGAGAGACCATTTCACTGAGTAGGTGAAACGATAGCCTATTTCATTCACCTTGTCAACCTTCCGTCTTTGCTGCGGTTTCCACTACAGAGGATGTGTAAATAGGATTTGTATCTGGTTTCCGGTGACACCGCACCGTTAACTGTGAACAGTGTATGTTAGCGGCTATTGCACCAACTATCCAAAAGTAGTATAACAACTACATTGACAATGTCAGAAAATACACAGGTATACACAGTAGGAGCACGCAGGGTATTCATGTCTGCAAAGTCAAGTGTAACCACATTCCACTTACCTTGACATGTACATGTGGGCATCCAGTGACACAGAAGAGGTGAAGCGAAACCGTGAATATGCACAGGGATATACGTTGAGATAACTCTGAAGTTCTCGCATCCTGCATAACATAGGGACATCTAACAGACGTACACTGTATACTTACTTGTTTTAGTGGCTTTCTTTACTCCGTACAAGATAACGCTCAGATGCCACAATATATACACACGAACGACTCCTCTTCCTGGAAACCGGAGCATTTTTGATGAAAGCAGCTGCCGCAGACATCGCACACTACCCAGTCTACAGCATCCTTATTATTCTTCGGATCGTCCTTCCCGAGACAAACTCCACAAACACCTTTTTGCACAGGGACCGAGGATGTGGACGTCTGTCCATGCTTACCTGTCCGGTAGCTAGTAGATGTAGGGATCTTCAACCGGCGAGACTTCGCTGATGATGGTAGGGTAGAAGTAATCGGAACCTCAGTTAACCGTAGGACCAGTGGAGTCTTACGCTCACTGGATTTCATTGACGAGCTCTGTGGCACCTTTGCTGGGATTGCACATTCTTCATTTGTATCCCCACGCTGAACAGACGTTAGTGAGAAGTCTCCTTGCAACCTGAGTAAATTTTCCGGCCTGTCCAGAGGAACTGGATCGGCACAATGCTTACTTGTGCAGTAAAGAGATATGTCGGTGTCCGTTGACAGCAGCTCCCCAAACATACGCAGAGAATTAGTCAAGCGCTGATAATTCGCAGTCGACAAGCTGCACAAACGTGTACCGACATCACCCAGCACTCGCTCAATATTGCGCAACTTAGTGACTCCATCAATTACGGCATCAGGCGGCACATCATTTCCCTCCTCCGAAATCACATCCGCAACATCGGTGAAGTGCGGCGCAACATCACCTGCAGAAGCCTGTGGTATACACGATTCAGTGACAATACGGCACATGCCGTTTTTCTCAGGCGGCCCCACTACGTCCGTAATTTGCTCTGAGTTGTGCTTCAAGTAACGCCGCTTAATTGAGCTCAAATAATCCGGAGTTACGCATCGACCATAATATCCGGCAACGTAGTGCCGCAATTCGCGGGTAGTCTTGAAAGCGGACATAAGACCACATACCTGCGCCTCCTCTGCATCTGTCAAGCGCCTGTTACTCGCATACAACCAAGGATTTCCCACATGGAAATCATGGCTGTGCTGTAAGTGGCAATCACCTCGCTCGTACCAAAGACCCTTCAGAACGAATGAAAACCTAGCCTTGCAGTCACAATCCCGGTACCTAAATTGAAGCAATAATTAATTGCCGGCGCAAGACTTACCGTTTTCCACGGACGTTGCTTCGTTTGCAATGGACGCAGCGATATTGTACGTAATGGTAGGTGCATCCCTCGGGCAACTCTTTCCCATACTTTCGCTCGTACTGCCTGGCTGTCACAACGGAATCTTTAAAAAATGATGTCGCAGTCGCCAGTTGAAACTTTTTCACATCTTCCTCCATGTCCTTACTGTTTCGATAACTAGAACGCACCATACGACTGAAAACAGCGTAATCGTCCACCATCATCATGGGGACCGTGCTTCTGTACAGTCAGTGATAACCGGCGAATGTGCTAGCGTGGTACAATATGCAGTATGAGTCTGGTATAATACTCTGTGATCCTATGTGGGCAATGTGTGAAATGGGTCGCAACAGACCCGTGGAGCTGCAAGGAAAAACAAATCGCAGGTGGCTGAATGTCGTTACTTCAACCACCTAGAAAGAAGCTAGAGTTAATAGGAAGACGGAGATATTGCTATCTAGTAAACAGATATCATCAGCATTCATCATTATACACGTTAGCTAGAGGTGGAAAGCACCTCAGCTACTGTGCCGCAATACATAGAAGAAAATAAAATACAACAGGATTACATATGTTAATATGCTGGCGCGTCATAGGAACTCATGAATATCTGTCACAATATCTCCCCTCTTAACATGCGCAATCCTCAGTGCCCGGAAACTCCTGCACAATCTTCAATCTGTTGAAATTCAAGACAGTTGACGAGCCCGGCTTCATGGTTCTAAAAGTCAGATGGGAAAGTACATTATCTACGACGTATGGTCCCTTTCAGTTTAGATGGAATTGCACAGGGACATCTGTTGGTCTTATGAGCGCCTTGAGCCAAACTTTATCACTGGGTTGGTAAGGACTTCCAAAAGCTTTGCGATCGAAGTAAGCTTTCTGATGTCGCTGCAAGTGCGACTGTGTTAACTGGTGCGCGTGTAGCAGGTTTGACTGCATCCGGAGAATGTGGTTAAATGCGAGTAGAGGTATATGGTGCGACATCGACAGTAGCGTGTCCCAGAGTGGTCGCAGCTCGCGTCCTATCATCATGAGATGCGGAGTTTGGCCGGTCGATGAATGGACAGAGGTTCGGTAAGCAAACACTTAGGTAAAAATACGTATCCCACTCGCTTGTCGTCTTACTGGTAAGGAATACCTGGAACAATGCTTTGAGCGTACGGTTCGTGCACTCGACCAGTCAATTTTCTTCTTGATGGTAAGCAGTGGTCGGGGTATTCCGGAAGCCAAAAAGGTGACAACTCGCTCATGAGTATGCTTTCAAAGTTCGATCGCCAATCGGAAGGTAACTGGTAAAAGGAGCTCCGTCTTGCTTTCGCCACGCTTCATGCGTCTATGTTCTGTAGTGGGACTGCTTCGCAGCACTTGGTGAAGTAGTCTACAATTACTAAAACATTGCGGTTTCCCTATGCGGCCCCACAATGTTTATGCCAACCAGCTCGTTCGTGAACCCAGCCATCATTGGTTGCAACCCTCCACGGCGGACTGGTGTAGGATTTTTGATTCGTGCACAATCGGCGCATTATTGGCAATACTTTGTAATGTCACGCCGTAAGAATGGCCACCAAAAGCGGAGCGAACAGTCTCATCCATCTTGTTTTGTCTCGCACGTCCTAGTTCTTCGTGTATTCTGTGTATCACTTCCTGAATTTAGAATGTTGAGACAACAATCGTCCGGAAGTAGGTGGGTCTATTTTAGAAATACACGATTCCATTCGTCAGGCGTAAAGGCGCCGAAGTGACCACAGGCATTTCGTCTCCCAGCTGGCTCCAGCCAGCTCTTGATGCGTTGGTCCGACAGCTTTGTGCGATGCGGTCGTACAGTAAGCTCAGCTCTGAGTCAGTTCTAATCTAATCCTGGGTTTCGGACGTGTCAAAGATGACAGCGGACATGCATGTACTCGTGCATGGTCCATGGTTCCTAGTAGGCCTCCGTGATAAAGTGTCAGCATTTTCATGCTTTGTGCCCAGGGGGTGTTGCAACTGTTGTTGCTATCTAGCGATCTGCCAACTGGGTCATGGAAGTTCTGAAGCCTGATCAAAGACTGGTGGTCCGTTAACAAAATGAATTTGGGCTTAACAGTTAGTGGCGAAACTGCGTAATAATGTACACCAAGGCGAGCATCTCATTGAAAGCAGTGTAGTAGTTATGCTCCCTTTTCAAGAGACTTCTGCTTACATATGCGGTGACTGGCTCGGCTCCGACCGGTGCGCGCTGTGACAGCACAGCTTCGATAGACGTGTCGCTAGCATCCGTGTACAGGATGAAAGTACGCGTAGCGTATCTGCATAATTCAGCACCGTTGCTTCGCACAACGCAGTCAAAAGTTTCTCAAACGATTCCTGCTGAGCTGTTGCAAAACGGTAAGGATCAGCCTAGTAGGGAAAAAATAAGTGGTGTGATTTATAAAATTCACTGCAAAAATTGTAACAAATACTATGTGGGCCAGACAGGAAGCTCCGCACTAGGCTACATGAGCATAGCTTAGCCATCCGCCGACATGACCAGAACTCCCAGATGCCGGTACATATGGACGCCGAGAATCATCAGTTTGATTTGGAGAATGTCAGGATCATAGACAGGGCAAAAAGTCAAAAAGCAAACGAGTGTATCGAGGCTTGGTACTCGGGGAAGGACGCAATCAACAGACAGTTAGATCTAGATTCTGCCTATGAAGCGCTGAGGGTCAAATCGATACTCCGCCCCAGATCAACAGAACAAAGGAAGGTCATTGAGGCGGACTCCAGCCAAGCGTCCGCAAGAGCTGACTACACTGTCAGCTCACTTGGATGGATAGACTCCAGACGTTCGAATCAGTAAGTGATCAATAACCACTTGGATCTGTAAGTGGCCCGTATAAACGTACATATATATATATATATATATATATATATATATATATATATATATATATATATATATGGTTGGCGGCATCCGGTTTCGGATTTGCCTGTCACTGTGGCAAGCCACAGGACGCCTGCGCCTACAGAGGGATCACGGATAGCCTGCGCTGCACCACCCATAGCTCCAACCACATACCCCATATCCAGTGTAAACCCGAAGGAATAAGACCGGGAAGCATGTGGATGGGAGCCACGTTTCATCAACGGAGCAGGCCCACACTCCTTCACGGGCAAACACAAGCACACTATATTTGGGGAATCAAGCGCACACAAGATGGTGACTGGACCGTAGTCCGCTCCACACTGAGTGCATGGAACCACTCTTCGAGCCTAGCACGGCCACAAGAACCGTGCACCCCATCCCCTCCAGCAACGACCAAGTGTCTCCTAGAGCCAGTATGGACGAGGTAGTGGGTAATAGACAGGTAGGCACCTTGTCAACATGCACATCAAGCGCAGCCACAACAAGGATATCAAGCAACAGCCAATCACTTGAGAGAAAGCTAACAAAGAAAAGAAATCGAGTAATACATAAGGAAACGTGACAAAAATCTTAAAGTAATGAGCATATAAAATAAGTTGTTAACAAAGGATCCGAGATAAGTTCAGAGGGTCAGAAAGTATATTTTACGGAAATGATACAAAAACGAAAATGTTATCGAAATTAACTACAATTGGCTTAAGCAAGGTGTGCAGGTTTATAAAAGAGCGTACAGGTGGACATTTATTTGAGAAAGAAAACCATTAGGACAAAATTGAAAACCCACCACCTGAAATAAAGAGACTTAGCATGCAAGCACGCGGTTAGTAAACCGAATGCAGCGTACCTACAAACGCTGCGCCCGTTCTGCCTACGTTCTCTGCAGAACCCGTCGTCGCTTCGGTAGTGGTCCCGAGTGGCCTCGCTCATGGCTCACTAAGCCTGTCTGACTCAGGCACTCGCGACCGCATGTGCTACAGCACCATGCGCTTGATGTCGATGAAGAACAACCCATCGGCGCTTTCCGCTTCCGCACTTGCCGCTTCTCTGTATGCACGAGGGCTTTCTCCTGCACCTCGGCAACTGCCTTCGTGATTAGATCGAGCCATGCACGCCGATCAACCACCTTCGATTCCCATGATCTGCAATCAAGATTAGAACGTGTGAGGCTCACTTTAATCATGTCCTGGTAACGTAACTTTGGTTTCCCCACGTGCCGCTTCCCTATACTTAGTTGACCATATAAGAGTTGCTTCGGTATCCGCGTCTAATCCATATGGCTCACATGACAGAGCCACCTCAGATGTCTCAGCAAAAGTATGCAGTCCACTGCATACATTCCAATACGGCACAACACTTCCGTGTCTACAACTCTGTCGCCCCAACTGATGCGTAAAATCCGTCGCAGACACTGCTGATGGAACCGCTCGAGATATCGCACATCCAACCGGTATATCGTCCACGTTTCATTGCCGTACAGAAGAACGGACAGCACCATGGATTTGTACGCCATCAGCTTCGTGCCAATAATAAGCTGATGGTTGTTCCACACTCGGTATTCAAGCTTCCCGAATGCCGCCGCTGTCTTCGACACGCGGATACGCAGCTCACTGTGTATCTGCTGATTAGTCGACATCACACTCCCAAGGTAGCAAAAGCGGGAGGTGGTTTCCAACACTTCAGCACCAATGCTGATTCGCGGCAATATTGAAGATTGCACCTCCGGTGAAGGCTGAAAGAGACAGACAGTTTTGCTTGTGTTGATGGTGAGCCCGAACTTGGCCGCTGTCGAAGCCAGAGCACTAGTCATATGCTGCAACTCATCCGCGCTGTGTGAAAACAACGCAGTCGTCAACAAACAGCAACATACGGATAGTTGTCTCACAGACTAGAGTTCTCGCACCGAAACGACGAATGTTCAGCAACCCACCATCAATACGGTGCTCCACACGAACACCGTAAGCACAAGCGGCATCAAAAGCCCAGGACAACATCGCATGAAGATACATATTAAACAGGGCGGAGCTAAGACACAGCCTAGCTTCACACCAGTGACAACTGCAAAGTTATCCGAGGTCTCTCCACTCAGCTGCACCCTCGCTCGCATACCACTGTGCAGATATCCAATCAAACTTACAAACTTACTCGGGCAACCAACCTTAAGCAACATCAGCCACAATGCCTCGCGGTTCACCGTATCAAATGCCTTGGTGAAATCAACAAAAAGCGAGTACAAAGGCTGGTGTCGTTCTCTGCACTTCTCTTGCAACTGACGAGCCGCAAACACCATAGCTATAGTGCTGCGACCCGAACGGAATCCACACTACTCTTCCGCCATGTTCGGTTCCAAAACCTGACTGACGAGGCAGTTGAGCAGGATTCAGGCAATCACCTTGCCCACACAACTCAGCAAGTTGATGCCACGATAATTCGTGCAACATTGCTTGCTACCTTTACCCTTGTACAGTGGTAGCAC